AGCAATGTCCTTAGTGCGCACTCCCACCACGAGCAGGGGGTTGTCTTCAGCACCCTCTTCTTTGGGTCGGTATCCATAGCTCCACTTCCGCGGGCGTGAAGCCCTGCCGCTCCATGGCTACAACCAGGTCAGGCAGGATCTGTACTGGTAGATAGACAAAGAGGTCATTGGTGGGTAGCGTCTGCTCACCATGCTCCATTCCCCCAACAAAGGACATGATGACAGTGCGCATAAAGGTGAGGGCATCGACATCTTTTTCCTTTGTTGTCTGTGGTTTCCCTTCCACTGCTTGGGCTGTTCCTGTACCCTGGTGTCTGTGTTGATTGTCAAAGGAACAGCACCTTGCAATGAAGGCAAGGAGACCATACTGCCAGAAGCGGGGGCTTGCGTAAAGGGCGAGCTGCTTTTGAGTGATGAAAGGGCACGCTGGATGCCCACGCTTCACAAAGGCGAAGAGGTTGGACAGGGGAGCAGCAAAGGCTTCACTTATACGGGGAGATCTCCTATATAGGCCTGGTTGATTTCATCTGGAATGTCTACAAAGGAGGAGCCATGGAGTGCTTGTTCTGTCACCCTCCTCCAGAGGAATGTGCGGACGAGGCGGTTGATTTGCTTGTTGGAAATAGCGAGCCTCGCCATCGGCCATTCTCCAGGCAGGTCACTATAGATCTGTAATGAGGGGAGCGGCGCCCTTTGCCCGTCAGCTTCTCTGGCCGTTCGAGCCGCATTTTGATGGTCGTATAGGGCCTGCATGGCTCTCTGCTCGGATTCCAGTTGGAGATCAGTGGCGGCCGTGCCTCCACGCTCTGCATGCTCTTGATCACTGGCAATGTCAATTTCTGTCGTGGCCTGTGGGCGCTCTTGCGTCGATCCAGGGTGGTCAGGTGGTGTCTCAGGGTTCCTGCAAACGGGAGCCTCCTGCCTTTGAGCATTCCGACTGGCGAGGTCTGCCAGTGTGGCCGGTGGTTGCTCATGTTCAGGAATGCTGCCGAGTGGTTGCCTGGATGTTGGAGCAAGTGATTTTCGTAACTTCTTGGACTGAGCTCGCCCGGCACTAGCCTTAGACCCCGGTCTTCGTTTGATTGGGGACTCAGAGGAGTGCGATGTGGGGCTGCTACTTGAGGGGTCCACGTCCTGTGGGGGTAGCTCGCTCCTTGCGTCGTCGTCTGCCTCCAGCATTTCATCTTGTGCGGGGCATGCGTCAGGAAGGGCCGGACGATTGCTAAGGCAATCACCCTCTTCTTTAGAGGAGATGTTAGCGCTATCATCTTCTTCCATTTGTGCATCGTCTTCCTCCGGTTGCTCTGTGCTCGGGATAGTGGGCGACTCGGAGGAGGAGCTGTGGACTGAGACTGCTTCATTTGCGTCGTCATCAGCCATCGCAGCATCTGTAGCCGCCAGAGAGGACAGCGATTGTTCCTCTTGCACTTCATGTTCCTCTTTTTCTGGTTCACGATCAGAGACAGAGGTGTACCGGCCCGGAGACAACTTCTTCTCTTTAAGAAGCAGTCTTTGAACCTCCTGGCTCAACAGATTATTACTGAGAGCTTTGAGCCGATATGTCTTGAGCCAAAAGGGCTACGGAAAAAGAAGTCCTTCCCTCAAAAGAGACTTTCGAAGGGTGTCCATTCCAAGACATTCTCCCTCGCAGTCCACGTCCCCATGAATCCAGAGGAGATGGTCCCTGATGGCGCTTTCGCAGCGGTGCCGCGTCTGCGTCACGTCAGCGTAGAAGCAGGAATCAGGGTGGGTGCAGAGGCATGGCAGTGTTGTTGACAGCTACGGATAGTTAGAATGCCAGCTTCTTCGGTGGTGAGAACAGCAGACAACACATTCCGAAATTGCCAGCTGCTCAACAGCGTCACAGCGCCTGGCTGCGTGGAGTTTGGCCAAAAAGTCTTTGCTGAACGCAGCTCTCTGCAGTGGGTCCATGCTATTGAGGGCGTGGCGAATCAATTTTGTAGTTCCACCAAACTTGGGCATTATCTCTTTCGAGATTGCATCAACTTAGCCACTTTTGTCCTGCAAGAGGCGCTCATCCACAAGAGTTGCCAGCTTGAATGCGTGCCAGGGAGCTGTCGCAAGGATGTTCCACAGGGACAGGTACACTTGAGCTTGCGAGGGACTTCCAAGTGTTGGAAGCGCATGCCTGTGACAACTGTCAATTGTTGAAGAAAGTCGATCTTTCGAACACAAAGATCGAAGAAATTCAGGAATTTACATTTGTGCACCCATGCACGCCATACCACAAGAGTAAAAGCCTTCATGAACTGTGCTGCACTGCCAGAACCCTCACTGCACTACATTGCCAGCCGAGCCTTTCTGGACTGCACTCCGTGGGCTTGTCAGGCTCCCAGGCCAGCATTAATGGAGGGGAATAATGTAGAAGAAAATGCTTTTGCCATTTGCCCTGCCATGAGATGGCCGCCTTGTTTGCGCATGATCCCTGACAGTGGTACGCGTCCGGCTTGGCAAGGGTATGGGCGCTGTGTGTGCCCACAAGTCACCAAGTCCAATTCAGATGGGGGGCACATGAGCTGAGCCTGACAATCAAAACAGGCAGCAACAAGCCAAAACACCAACACAAAAAACACCAACCAAAGCAACCAGAACCAAAACCAAGAGTCAGCTCCTACTGTTCGAGTGTGAGTCAGGCCCCGCAAAGCAGATGGAGTCGTCATCCTCGCCTACATCGCCTGCAGTTTTGTGAGCCTACCGGAATGGGAGCCTAGCTTCGTCCATGGTTGGCGGGTGGTAGCAGAGCGGTTGATGGATGGCACCCAGAGAGAACCTTAGTTGCTCGTCTGCAGGAGCCGAACCACAGCCAATCTTGTACAAAGATGGCGTCAGCACCATGCTAGGATGGGTCATTGTTTCACCTGTTTCACATGGGCCATGCGTGTTGAAGGATAGTGACCTCAATGCTCACTATCTGATGGAAGAGTGAACAACCCCCATAACCCCTTTGGCTAACGCGTGGGAGCCATTGGGGGTGTCTCTTGTGGGAGGGAAATCAGCACGTCGTGAGCAGTCCTTTCGTTGCGATGCCTTCCACTGCCACACTCAAGATAAGCCTCTGCTTTTCGTATGTGCAATCAGTAGTATGGATTGTGCCACGGAGAGGGAATTTTCCACGGCTTGCCATGCTTTGCAACTGATGACTCTTTGGCATTTGTCATTGACAACTGCTGACTTTGCTCTTGGTACTTCGCATGATGTCAAAATACTTCGAGTGCCAACCATCAAAAGTGGCGTGGATGACCTCATCCTTGCCAATGGAGTGCGGCCACATTTGATTGGCCGATCCGTGCGAATACTCACGACCAGAAGCATTTTGCCTTTCGTAGAGAATTCAGGCCCTTAGATATTTTGCAGCTTGTCTTTCTCACCAGTTTCACTTTCAGTACAGAGGAAACACTGCCCACATTGATAGGGGGTCCGCTGTGGTGGTTTTTGTTGTTTGTTTTGGGGTTGGGTTTCGGGTTTTGTTTGGTGTTTTGGTGTTGGTGGTTTTGGTTTGCTTCCCCCATCAATATGCAGTGTTTCCTTTCCTTCTACGATGACCTGGCACCGCCCACATGGCGTCCGCACTCGTGGAAAAAAATATGCCCCTTGCCTTGGCCGTTCAAAAGCACATTAATGAATGCCTTTCAAACAAATAGGCGATTCGCACGAATAGCCCACTGTAAGTCAGCAATAAAATGTAAGTCAGCTCGCTGATGCATTCTTATTGCAACGTCAGCCTTTCGCAAAAAATTGTTAATGGAAAATTTTTTTACCAGAACATTTGCATGCGTTCGACGTGGATTCACAATGACGACTTGAACCATCGAAGGCTTGTCACATTCTTCAGCCCTGCCGTTCGAGCATGTTCGATCAAACCTCCGCCTACAGGCTCAGAAGTCAGTTGCATTGGCATGTAATTGCACCATGATACTGTTGACATGCGCTGGCATGATGTTGTCATGGACCTCCTTGACATGATATTTGTTTCTTTGCCCGCCCTCCACTCCCTGTGGAGGCCACTTCGTGCCCTCTTTGCACTCAATTGGTCCTGCCATCGATGCTTCCTGCATCGACCTGTGTTCCTTCACGCTGCCTAACCCAGCCGTCAAGAGGACGGCCTCGTGAGACTCCCCAATGTTGTCTGAGAAAAAGGAGCGAGTGGTCGAGCGCAAACGAAACGACAAATGTGTCAGTTTTCACAGTATTTGAACCATGTCTTGCACAGTAAGCATTTGTTTGCATATGCCCCTTGCCTTGGTCGTTCAAAAGCACATTAATGAATGCCTTTCAAACATATAGGCGATTCGCACGAATAGCCCACTGTAAGTCAGCAATAAAAAGTATTATATACTCATGCCAAATGCTCCACTGGACCAAACCCGCTCTTGATGAAGTTCACTCGGAACTATCAGTTTTGAAGAAACAGTGACAAGAACAATTGGATAAATGGGCAAGCAGTGTCTGAGGTTTTGACTGCGTCTGCTTCGCGGAAGTCAAAAGACGCAATGCAAATGTACCGTATGTGATGAAAACATGATTTCGACGCGAAGCACTGCGAGGGTAGATTAATTTTCTCCTTAACATACGTTGTTGTTGGTTTCTTAAAAAGACGAGGGGG